AGAAGGTGCACCAGGTTATACCCGGAGGCTTGGGTTTTGTAATTAAACTGCATTCTCCCTGGTTGGAGCTCCTCCCTAAAGCCACGAAGGCTCTGTGGGACATGCTGCCCCCTCTCCCTGGTCGCAGGAAAAGTAATCATTTTCTAAATGGTCCCCCAGACGCTGAAGAGTGGCTCATTAGTCCTCCCAGGGGCCGCTGTCACCCCCGGGAGGACAAATGGCCCAGCTTGGAAAGAATCTGGGTCATTTTATCTTGCACCATGAAGACCTCCCCAGGGTTCTGATGAGAAGTGCTCTGACCATGAGCACAAGACTACAGGTACACTGGCATCTGGCATGGAGGTGTGCTCGGCTGGGGTGGGGCCGGGTGGGGGGGTGGTGGTGGGGAGGCTGGCTCGGGCTCTGTCCAAGTCTGGTTCCACGCTGTCTCCCCATCCCCAGCTGAGCCACGGGAAGCGTAATGATTCTGTCTCATTCCTCTCTAACAAATGAACTTCTCGCTCTCTTGGCACACTAAGCCATGTTTACAGAAAATATCAGTCTAGAATAAACAGTTCCTGTCAGACCCCAGGGCCAGTGGGGACTGTGGCAGAACCCGTGGGTCTCCTCCCCGGTCACTAGAAGGGGCTTCAGTCCCTGCTGTGGCTCACCTCTGGGCTCTTCTCTCTGGGGGGTCCTAGAGGCTGATGTAGTAGTAGCTTTGGAGTTAGACAGCCTTACACCCAAATCCTGCTTCCTGCCTTGACTGCCTGTGCGCCTGCAGGCAGGGTCACTTAGCTCCACAGAACCTCAGCTTCCTCATCTGTAAGTCCTCAGAAGGGTGGCTTTAAAGAGGAGTTGTCAGGCCAAGCACCTAGCTCAGAACCGGTACTCAGAAATGTTGCCTTTTCTCTCTTCTGACTTGGAGCTCCCGTGTCCCCCTGGCATCACTTCTGGACACAGGGAACATTGACAAAACAAATCATTGTTGGTACAGTTTCTGAGGAGCATTTCCCACATTATTTCATTGGGGTGTCAATGATGTATTTATTGTCATCCTCATTTTACAGATTAGAAAAATGAGGCTCAGAGAAGTTAAGAAGATTTTACGCAGTTGCACAGTAAGTGTGGAGGTGGG